GAGAGCGGCTAAACACATTGTCGTGAGTATCGGTGTGAACACGGCCAGAATCAGAAAGTGTCAGCATTCCGTGGAAAGTGCCCTGCCTCGCTGGCAGGGCATAGAAACCAAAACAAAAGAAGAAAACTGGAACGAGAACAAGAAAATCTGAACGAAGCCTGAATATATGTCAGATTCATTTTTTGTTGCGAGTACTGGGTACTTTGCGGGCTTCACCGCCCTTGTGAGCTGGCAGGGCGGTTTTCACAGGACAAATAAAAAAAGAAACTACCCAGGCCTCGCTCCACTACACAACTCTCTACATGCATTTGGACAATTTCTGGGCGAGGTACATTCATACAAATCCAATACTTAGGGCCCACAGAATCCGAAAACATGTCGAGCGTTGGGTAGTGGAGAACGGCCGTGTGTCACGCCGGACGTAACACACTAATGATGTGTTCGTATCGTGGGCCCACCATCCCCACCCCCACCGAACCTCTCCCATGCGTGATAATTGTAGATTATGCGTTGGCCAGAACGCAGAGTCGTGGTTTAAGGGAAATTACAGTCCTCTTTTTTTTTTTTTTTTTTTTAAGAACAAGACAATGCCCCATCTATTCTGGGGGGCAACAGTCCAGTTGCTTATCACTGGCAAGCATGTTCGTAGTTGTACATCCAAGGAAGTGGGGATATCAGGTCAGAGAAGGGGAACAGTCCTAATCCTTGTGGCACTAGTCGCCCAGCAAGGGAGGAGCTGCAAAAGAGCCCCCACATCCTAAAACCATGGCCGCGTTTTAAAATACTGGTCCCCTCCCCCCCCCCCTCCTCTCCTCCCCGCTTACACTGCACTGATTGCACCATGTTTTTTTACGTCCCCCCAGATCAGTTCGGCTTCATCCCCAAAAGCAATGTCCAGAACAACATTCTAGCAGCCGATGAGACCACCCGGTATGCAAAACAAGGGGAGAAAGAGGCAGCTAATCCTATTCATAGATATTTGAAAAGGCCTATTACGATGGGAATTGGAGATTCAGGGATGTGCGGCTCTGATAACGCCACACACACCATCTGCCAAGCAGGTGGCGGACAGCCAGGAAGGCAGCAAAGCAACAAGGCAAAAACCATAAAGAGCAGGCAGGCAGGTACTTGGCTGGACAACAGGGCACAATGATGAGAGCAGAAGGCGAGGGGCCCATCGAAGGCGAGCAGTCTGCCAACCAGGCAGTAGGGCAGCAGAGACAAGGCATCCACACATACAGCACAGACCAAAGCAGATAATCATCTGCTCACGCCAGAAGAACCGTACAAACTGCAGGTTTACACCACCATCCAGAGCCTGGGAGCTGCAAGACGAATGTGGGTCACTACCACGGGCATCCCAGACGGAGGAGTCCCCACAAGAAGAACAGTACAATTATCATGCAGGTTCACACCACCATCAAGAGCCCGGGAGCCGCAAGACGAGTGTGGGTACTACGACGCACATCCCAGACGCAGGAGTCGCCTTAACAGTTTTGCAGCACTTTTTTCAAGTACGCGCATTACTATCCGCTTCATAAAGATCCTCCGTGCCGCCCCATCCATCAAGGCAAGACTACAAAACTACACATCTGCTCAATTAAAGTGAGCAACTGGGCTGCAGGTCATATCCGTCAAGGCCAGGGTGCAGCTCACACATCCTCCGATGGGAGGCAGCAGGTGCAGAATCGAAGTAAGGTAATACTGGGCGCCAGGTCCTATCCGTCAAGGCGAAGGTCCCATCGATCAACGCGAGGGTACAAACCTACACATCCTCCGATGGGAGGCAAAAGATGCGGAATCAAAGTAAGGAAGCGCTGCACGGGAACAAGAATTGATGGGAGGCAGCGGGTGCAGTGATACGCTCAAGCCCGAGACCACAAGCCTGCAGCACTGAGACAGCCCCGATGTCCAACGTAGTGCACCGGAGAGAGGATAGGAACCGAAGCTGCTGCTCCCCGATAAATTGTCCAACGCCTACACATCCGCAACTGGAGTTAGAACACATCCGCAGAACTTCTGCCGCACGCTGATTCCGCAGCTCATCAGACACGATCCTTGCTGCCAATGGGCTGACCGGGTCGCTTGCTGAAAAGGCTGCTTGAATGGGTATCGAATCGATGCTTTTCATTATGACCGCCCGACTTTAATTGAGGGAAGACGTCTGTTAAACGACCAATCACTATTTTGTTCCGCCACGGGTGGGCATCAACCCGGCTGCAGAATAACTGGCAAGTCCTACCTGACGGAAAGCGCTGACATTATGACCAACGAATTGCACACGATGCCAGAACGAACAGATGGCGAGCGTCAAGAACCTGCATCCGGAAAAAAGGATTTCTGATGGACTGGTCGCTGAAAAGGACGGAGCGCGCACTCCCTTACCCTTTGTTGAAGGTCTTATGACAAAGACTTTGCTAGACTTTTGATGCGTCCTGTTAGCTATGATGCCTTCACACATCGTGGAGGCGGTACTGCAAAAAACAAGGTGCCAACTTTTCGGCTGGCACTTGAGAATGCGCTGACATGGGATCATTGTAGGGGTTGAGACTGGCAATGGCAGGAATATCATATCCATCACATTTGCACCAGTATATTTTGACAGCCAATTTGACGCAAACCCTTTTACAGGAATATCATATCCATCACTTTTTTCTACACTTTTACAGTATGCTGTTCGTGTGCCTCGTCCATGAACATGTTCATGTTCGACCGTTTTTCCATCCAAAGGAGATGGGAACGACAAATGCCAGGGTGGTCCCTGCTCCCTGTAGCTGACAGCCTCTGCTGGGCCCGAGAGACGCACAGATAGCTGAGGTGCTGAGAAGGGTACCAGTGATTTACCAGCACAACTTCACATGCTGAGGAGGGTACCACTGATTTACGAGCATAACTGCGCGATAAAAAAACCGTGCGCGCGTGTCTTGAAGGTCCGTCAGCAAATACAGCTCACGAATCCTATCCAAAACGAACGAAAGCCCCAGAAGAAAAACAACAACCTACGGAGTGCAAGATCTCCTGTAATAGTCCAGTTGAACCACCAACTGGGAGTTTTCACAGTAGCGTACAGCGGCGTTCACTACCGGCAGAGGCCTGAATCAGAAAGCTCTTACCTCGTAAGCCCGTAAGAGCCCCACTTTGTGTTGGGTGACCTGGCGTTCTAAACACAGTTGCACAGTAGCCTACAGCGGCGTTCACTACCGGCAAAGGCCCGAATCAGAACGCTCTTACCGCGTAAGACCGTAAGAGCCCCACTTTGTGTTGGGTGACCTGGCGTTCTAAACACAGTTGCACAAGCCCAACATATTCTATAAACGATCTCGTAGTTATCAACCCTGGGGCCGGTCGTGAACTCGGTGGTAGGTTCCGATGAAAACGCCCACTTGGTGGTTCCACTGGAATATGACATTGAACCACCAGCGTAGTTATCGACGACTCACTGATCCAGACATCGAAACTGTACAAGTCAGTGTGTCTCCAAGTGTCGTCAGAATCCCGGGACCAAAATCAACCTCTCAATCCCTGCCACAATACAGAAAATCATTATGAGAATGCTAGGCAGGCCTAGTCTATGAAGTTGAGCGCCAGGGGCCTAGTGTGTGCACACTTCTGTGTAGAGCGTACTTATACAACAAAATATAAGTGCTTAACCAGCAAATACCTCAAAGCCTTCAACCGCCACGACGCCTGAGCCACTTCTTTTTCCCGGGAGCTGATCTCTGCCACATGCTTGAACAAAAAGGAACTGGTGCACGCTCGAAATCACATCTTTTCGCCTGGTGCCAGTCCTTTGCATTTATCTGAAAGGTCCAGCCTCCAAGGATGGGGCAGGTTACAGCTGCCTCGAACCAAAATAGCCGGGAAATGTCCTCGTCATGGTTTAAGCTCATATATGTTCCTACGGCTCACAGTTCACGAATGAGCCTCCTCCTCGCATTGCATCCCCTCCACATGATAAACATCAGACACATTACTCCTAAAAAGCACCCCCATCACCACTTTTTCCATATGCTGCAAAATGAGAGCCTCCTCAGGACAATCCCACACCAAGTTAACAGTCCGGGCGACAGCATAAATCAGCCCACACCCGAGTTCCAGAACACAAACATGCACGGATTGAAAAACGCACACATTCACTTGCATTCACAAGCAGACTGGCCACAGTCGCACACTAGCAATATCGTAACTGTATCTGACTGCATTTACAAGAGTACCTGAATGCATCTGGCTTCGATTACGTCCAGAGATACATAAAATCAATTTAAATCCTCCTAATGTGAGTATCGCCTGCGAAAAACCAACAGGCCTAAGCCACTTCAGCAACACCAGATGATCCCCTCCTGCTCCCAAGCTCACAGGTATTAAACCCTACTTGGCCTAGCTATCGGCTGCGGGCCTTAGCCGTGAACGCGCCACGACCTGTGCACTTCGGGGTACCGGACTGCAAAGGCTGGAGACGCCAGCCAAAACAACAACAACAAGAAAACGGTGCGCTGACAGTTCGGCTTAACTTGGTGTGCAGAACGTTTCGAGGGTCAGCAGCGATAGCTGGTCCAAACGCTCGTCAGTGCCATATCCCCGTTCATGAACGGGAACGAGGGGGTCCCGGGACCAGAGGCCGGTCGCGGAACACGATTTTCGTGCCCGGCTTCCGGACACTGCCATCACGGGGAGCGGGGAGGGTTTTGATTTTTTTTCTTTGGCTGGCGAGTGGTGTTTTTGTTTTTTGTGGGAGGGTGCGGGTCATCGTAGGGCACCCACCCATTTTTTTATTTTATTTTATTTTCAGGAATTTTTTTTTAAAGAATAAAAACTCAGGGAATGCGCCGACGTCATCGGCGACATGAGGCTACCTCGATTTTATTTTTTTATAATTTCATTACGTCGTGGGGCTTGTGGCAACATTGGCTGGGTGAGCCGTTGAAGGGAAAAAAAAAAAAAAAAAAAAAAAAAAAAAACAAAAAAAAAAAAACCAACAACGCGCTGTCAAGGTTTGGGCGGACATCGTGGCCGGCCATTAACAGGTACAGGGCCGCGTAACCAGCCGGTCACCATGCACGGGACCGTCCCCGGCCACGTTCATGGGGTAGTCACTGCTCCTCGTACATGCACGAATTGACAAATGCACGCATGCACTTGCATTCACAAGCAGACTGAGGGCGTACTCGAATTAGCACTTTCGTAACTGTATCTCACTGCATTTATGAGCAGACCTGGATGCATCTGGCCGCGATTACACCCAGATATAGGTAAAATTGTCCTAATGTAAGTATGGCCCGCAACTCCATGCAGGGGTCTTTGCTAGTTCCTTATTGCCAGTGCAAGTGTGCGCACAAAGTAGCTGGTTGGATATGGTCATTCATCTCACCTACCAGCATGTCCATACATGCGGGAAGGTCCTTGCATGCAGAAGCACACACACACACGAAGTCCAGGCAACCACTTCACGGTCTCACAGAGAGTAAGAAATCATGCCCCATGAAGCGCCACATCATGTCAAGCCGTTGTTCAACACCATAAAACCACCACATCATGTCCCCTGAAGCACATTCTCTGCCCCTTCGTGTCCCCAGAAAACACCTGGCTAGATATACCGGCTGTGTCCATTTCTTAGCAGGTAGTTAACACATCCGTCCAAACCAGTACAGCTCTGCAAATGCATGCACATGTGACTCTGCTGCGGGCGGAGGACGGGGGGGGAGAGAGAGAGAGAGAGAGAGAGAGAGAGAGAGAGAGAGAGAGAGAGAGAGAGAGAGAGAGAGAGAGAGAGAGAGAGAGAGAGANAGAGAGAGAGAGAGAGAGAGAGAGAGAGAGAGAGAGAGAGAGAGAGAGAGAGAGAGAGACAGACAGACAGACAGACAGAGAGAGAGATTCTCAAACCTCAGAAGCAAGTACAAGTTAGTGCAGAATGAACACTCCGCTGAAACGAGGCACACAACTCAAATGCCCCCAATAGTCTAGAACCTGCAGAGCTAAGAGATCACTGGACATGTGCAGGGCGTGGAGGGAGGGAGGGTAAACGGAACTCTGCGTAAGGACATGCAAACCGTGGCTGGGAATTCAAACCCCCATCCGACCAACGGAGGGCCACAGAAGACCGCAAAACAGAAAGACAGGTGGCGAAAACACTGCAGAAGAAGTGTGGATCACATTTTGCTTCACAAGACAAGCCGGACAATGTTTTCGCATCCGACGCACGTGAGAAGAACTCACCCAAAAGGTAAAAGCACTCACCAAAAAATGTGTTTAGCATCCGAAGCGCATTAGAAGAACTCACCCACAAGGTAAAAGCACTCACCAAAAAAGGCAATCCAGTAGAGCACCTAACTTTACATCATCTTCCTAAGGGACTGCTCTTCTAGATCCAAGGTAAACATCGAGAATGGTCCTTCCATCGAGAATGGAACTCCATTACAAATGGACCAGAGTCCGTTTGTAATCTTCGAATGTTCCGCGGAAAGGAGTCACGTTTCCATTGAAGACGACCCAGAGCTCGTCGACACTGCCAGTAATAAGATGTTGGTCGTGGCTCACCTGTAACAATACCCAGACTCACGGAGTCAGAATGGGGAAGGTAATAAACATAAAAAAAAGAATAGCAATTAATTAAAAAAAAAAGGATGATTGTTGCAAATCTGCAACCAGCAGTTGTTCATACATGACTGCACAAACTAGTACAAGATCAACTCATCCAGTTGGACTGAACAACCGCGGTGTCGAAATATAGATGATATGGTTCGAGAAGGGGGAACGAAAGTATGCATGAATTGAATTTTGAAGGTGCATTTGGGGCAATTCGATTCTTCAAATAGTGAATTCGAATTGGCGATTTATAATTTTATACTATTTATTTATAGCCATTTTGGCATTTTCCCTAAGCTAATGATGGATTTGCCTTGGCTACATAGCCAATTCAAATTGGCTATTTGGAGTTGTATATAGCCATTTTTGGCTACATAGCCAATTCAAATTGGCTATTTGGAATTGTATATAGCCATTTTCCCTCAGTATGACGAGTTTGCCTTGGCTATTTGGTCACAAAAACTCAAAACAGACTATATAGAAGAAAATAGTCCAAATTTCAAAATACATGCAGAATTAAATGCGACATTGTGGGTACAGTTAAACCACCAGTCCATGCGAGCCTCCTCTTTTTTCGAATGCACTATGCTTGTCCGCCTTTTGAAAACAAAACAAAACAAAACAAATTCGCAAAAACTTGAAAAAAGTCAGAAAACAGCCTTTTCCGTCTGGTTGGCGCGAAGTGATTTCCTTTGCATTTGTCAGCCAACAGACAATGCAAGCAGCTTTTTCCCAATGCACTGTACAAAGAAACTTAAGAAGACGGCCTTTTCCCTCAGTTTTCAAGGGGCTTCCAGTGTGGGCTGGGGGATTATTCTTGACGAATTCAGCCAACTATGGCTTTCACAAGGACGGGTCGAGTAAACAAGTTCACTTATCGACGTCCTCCACCTGTTATTCATAAGAAATGGGGTCCAGGATTCCCAGTTTTTTTTCTTTTTAAGAGGCAGGGGCCTACTTGGGGCTGGGCAATCACGGGGATGCCCGTGACTGCCTAGTAACCAGGTTTTCTTTTTAAGAGGCAGGTCCGACCGGCAGGCTCGGTCGGAGGAGGGCCCCCCGGCTCAACGGGGAACAGTTTGTTTTCAGTTTTTTTTCTTTTTCTTTTGCTGAGACCTTCCCTGGTCCTTGCACGGCCGGGGCCCCGCCCAGCAAATCAGGGCGACCCGGGGCGCCGGCTGGTAGCCTAGGTGTTAAGGACAACAATCAATTCCATCATTTACGTGGAATTTGGTCAGCTTTCGTTCGCTCACCAAGACCATGTCACTATGGAATGCGTAGCCTCGTTCGCTCACCAAGACCATGTCACTATGGAATGTGTAGACTCGTTCGACTGATTAACTGCATACACAATGATTGACCGGCTCTCCAGTGCTTCTGTTCTTGTTTCCCTGATCTCTGAGTACAGCGCTCAATATAAGCTTGTTATTTGCCGTCTGACTATCGGACAGACATCCTAGCTGGTCAATATAGGTACTGGCACCAAGCAGTCACATTCGTACTCAAATGCACTCACCATTAGCACACCGCCTCCATACAGCGCTAGACCCTGCATCAATGCGTCAACGGCATCCAAATCCTGAAACAAACAGAAGAGACCACCACAACAGAGAGTATACCAGGATTATCAACAGATCTATCAGCATTTTGCTGGATTTGCCTTCTCTTTTTTTCTTCTTTTTTCTTTTGCCTTCTCGTTTGCTCCTTTAGAGAGATGCTAGCATTCTATCTTCTTCCTACTTTTCTCACCACCGTAGCCTGAAGAATTGACACCTGCCCCCAGATGGTTTCCCAAGCTGCAAAGTTTCATTATCATTAGTCAGAGCAGATGAGTCAGGCATGGCGTGTGCCCAAGCATACGGCTTATCCGCATCCAACTCATATCGAACCCAAGATACAGACGTCCTTTTATTTTTATTATTTTTTTTTAAGAAAAAAAGAAACATACCGACAGCATTCAGTCAAGAAAGTCTCATAGTGAATATTCCCATAGTCTTTTTAAAGAAGAAAAAACATACCTCAGAAACAGAGACCAAACAGCACTGTCGCAGTTCTGGAAAAAACAGACTGCTGATACTCGTAAGACAAATTTTACCTACTCTCTCTCTCTCTCTCTCTCTCTTCCCCCCACTTGCTTGCTTTAACTCCGCTTCTAATGCCAAGAAATTGTTTGCTGGAATTAAAGAGGCTGTGGACATCCGAAAAACGCACTAGTAGTAGGCACCAACTATGCCATGGTTGGGGAGAGAGAAGTGGAGTAGTGGTTCCATGTGACATGCAGCTTGAACAAACTGAGGTTTCAAGGGACAACACAATGAAGTGAACCATGGCTGGCTTCCTTAAAGAAGTCAGTACAACACATCGATACAACACAAATTATTGATACAGCACATTCATACAACACAACATACAACAATAAGGCCTGATGGCTGGGCGACAACTTTGAACTTCTGAACGCTGAGACCTGACGGCTGGGCGACACTCACCAAATGGTTGCTGGGCTCATCCAGCAACAAAATATGAGGCTTTAAGTAGGTGATCTTTGCAAAGGAAACCCTGCTCTTCTGCCCTCCTGTACACCCCAACAGACAGAACACAGTTCTCAAGATTCAGGTGAAGTTCTCATTCTGAAATGAGAGTTTTCCAAGGCAAGCTTTGGGTGGTATATAGCATCACAGCTCAGCGACTCTGTAATCCTCACGAACCCTCAGGCATACACACTGGCTGCGGATCTCACAAAAGTCATAGCCACTCCTTTCGACTCTCTACCAGGCTGCAAAACATGTCCAGGAGGAAGCTTGTGAGAGGTTATCACAAGTTCAGATGCGTACGCACTGGCTGCGGATCTCGCAAATCATAGTTGCGGCACACCAGTGCGCAGTGCGGTGCGGGGCGGTGCGCACTGCACTGTGCACTGGAATGACAGCGCGCACACTGTGCGCAGTGCGCACACTGAGGAAGGTGCGTCCTGTGCACAATATATAAAAAAAAAAAAAAAACAGGCCCCAGAGAGAGAGAGAGAGAGAGAGAGAGAGAGAGAGAGAGAAGAGATAACAAAGGGGCCTCTTCACGTCAATTTGAGGGGCCCTGCAGGTACCTCGAATGACTCCTACGTTACATGTGGAGTCATCGAGGACCACTGCTTCAATTAGAAGGATGGTCTCGATATCTGTGGAAGAGGTAGGGCAGACCACCAATATATGCTTTGGATTCGAGTTCAAGGCTGTAGCTCACCAGTTATGGGCCACCAATTCAGCTAGAGCCTGTTCGTGTCTCCACGTGATTCTCAGGGCCTCCCTCCACCACTCACCAAATGTATACAATATTAGTAGAATGAATCTTCTGCTAAAAAATGGAACCATACACCGCCATATGCTATGTCTTTTGTGCATGTGGTGAGTCGTGGAGAAGGGCCCACTGTACGTATTCGTAAGAAAACAAAAACAAAAAAAACGAGAGCTCCCTCCACCACTCACCAAATGTATATATATAACAATAAAACATGAGACCATACACCGCCATGCTATTTCTTTTGTGCATGTGGTGAGTAGTGGAGCAGGCCCCACTCTACGTATTCATAAGAAAACAATAACCAAAAACCGAGAGAACTACGCGCATCTTCATCCTAACCCATAACTGCCGACATTCAGACCTGAACGCCAACCTTCAGAATATATTGGTGGTCGGCCGTTACTAGGCGACTACTCCCTTCTCGCGAACTTACCCCACCACTGTGGGATTTGCAGAAGGGAGGGGGAAGGCCAGTTTCCATACCCCGCCTACGAGAAAAGTTGGAATGAGCCCTATTTTATGCTCTGCCTTTTTGAAATTTTTCGGGGTAGGGCCTGCGGAAATTGAAATTCGGCAACCCTTGACCGAAAAAAAGGTCGGGCCGGCGGCGCGGCCGGTTTGCTAGCTCGCGCGGTGCGTTTAACATTTTTGCCGAGTTGGGGACCCTAAGGAATGACAACACACCTTTTTTTTTTTTTTTTTTTTTGGGACCTAATTTTAACAGTGCGGTGCGTTTGGGTGCGCTGTGCGGTGCGCAAATCGTGCGCAAATCCGCGCACTGAGGTGCGGCGCAACTATGGAAATCATCCACCAACCAGAGACGAGACAGCAGCGATATCAAACTTGCCCACTTGCCCCGAGATAATAGACAAGCGCGGTCAGACACTGATGTATCAGCCGCTTGTATGTGGGAGAATTCTTTAGAGATGCCACCATGGATAAGTCTGCGCCTCCACGTTAACCTCCTGAGTGATTTCCACTGTACGCCCCAATGACAAGGCCAGATGGCATATGTCAATGCATCCATCAGCCAGAGATGAGGCAGAAGGTATAACAGGCTTCTCCCAGATGGCAGCTAGCCCAGTGTATAAAACGATCAACGAACTACAGAAAAAGAAAAAAGAGCGATCAGTTGTTGCTATGCTGGAAAGTTCTTTAGAGAAAACTCAAGGAATGATTCAAATTAGTCTGCGCATCCATGTTAACCTCCACAGAGACTTCCACTCTAGGCCCCAATGACAGGGATATGGGGCACATGTCCATTGTCATATCATCCCTCGAGTCTGCACCTCAGCCGATGAACCTGCACCTCCACGTTAACCTCCAGAGTGACTTCCACTGTTCGCCCCAATGACAAGGCCAGATGTCATACGTCAAATCATTCATCATCCTGAAATGATGACAGCAGGGATGACAAGCTTGTCCCCCCACACAGTGACCAAATTTCAACAAAGCGATCAATCAACGACTTCTATAGAGACACATCAACGGATGAGACTGCGCCTCCACGTTAACCTCCAGAGTGATTCCATTGTATGCCCCAATGACAAGGCCGGATGGCATACGTCAAATCATCCATCGGCCAGAGATGAGGCAGCAGCAATAACAAGCTTTTCCCAGCACGCCACCTAGCACAGTGAAACAACAATGGGTCAACTGCTCCTATGTCGGAGAGTTCTTTAGAGACGATTCAATGGATGGGTCTGCGCCTCCACGTTAACCTCCAGATTGGCTTCCACTGTTTGCCCCAATGACAAGGCCAGATGGCATACGTCAAATCGTCCAACAGCCAGAGATGAGGCAGCATTCAAGCTAGCACAGTGAAAA